TGCATATTCAAGTTTTGATAACATAAAATGAATGTTGTATTGGCTCATAACAGTGGGGTACTAAGTTGAAACTTTAAAGGGCATCTTTGAAGTGAACCTTTCCTTTGCCCATGCAGGGCTGAGACCCTTCTAACCCATACCTAGCACCCCTTTCCAAGCAGTTTATACTCTTTTTCTCGCTCTCATGCCACTCAGTTCATTTAACTAACTTGTCTGTCTTAGAGTAACGGGGAGGTGAAGCCTCCATCAATCAAGATGTAATATCTCACCCCCCCCCTATTGTGTTTTAAGCTGGTTAGTGGGCATGGAGGAGTGGTCTATTGTTTACCAGTGGGTATAAATCCACATGGGTGACTCTATAGTCATATGGGCTGCTCAGATGTGATGGGGATGAAATGCTCAGAATAGAAACTGAAAACTGAGCATGTGCAGCTACTGCCAACACTGCTCTGCAAAATCCCCAACTGCAGTGGGGACATGGGCAGGAGAGGGGAGACAGAGAACAGCAGGATCAACCAGATTTTTGGCAGAATGCAGAAAATGAATGAGTATGAACAGCATGGAATACAGTATTTATTGATATTGGGGGGGTTGTTATGATATGAGACTAGGAACGCTTTAAGCATGCCTTGTCCCTATCAAATGTTGGTATTTGTGGAGGCTTTAGCATGATGTAGATTATTATAACAAAGGTATAGTACGGATCCCTAATCTGCCTGTAGAGCACAGAGAAAATTTAGGAGTAGAAAAGAGAATGTGATATAAAAAGTGCAACACCACACTCTGAAAGCAGACAGGAGCATTTGCTTATGCACAGAACATGGGCACTTTTGAATTTTTTTTTTAATGTATGTATTTTTTTATATGTGAACTTTTGATAAGTGTGCATACAAGCTAGCTATAAAAGCCCTCGGGTTTGATTGGCAGCTTTAGCTTTTCTTCCATATATATATATATATATATTTTTTTTTTATGTAAAGTTTTTTTTTTCTCCCGCGATCCTCTCTGTGAGGAGGTGGTTTGCCAGAGCTGATTGTGTGCTTTCACGATGCTAGATTTCAGTCTAAAAATACCCACTGACTTCATTCTGCAGTCCCACTGTTCTGCTCTGGTACAAGTTAATAGCACACGTGGGAGATCTCCTCCTGGTACCTTTTTTTCTCTGAGCTAGGAAGCTTCCATCTTAGAATGGCCATGTTGCAATGCCATGTCCAAAGGCCTACTAGACGTGAAAGCAGGAGATTAGTAACCCAGCGAAACCAATCAGAATTCATTTTTTTAACCTGATCTCTGCAGTAATACGGACTACAAGTCCAAATAATGTATTGTACACAACTTGCCTTTAAAATGTATCTATTTATTACAGGTACTTATATAGCACCATCAATTTACACAGCGCTTTACATATATATTGTACATTCACATCAGTCCCTAACCCTCAAGGGGCGTACAATCTAAGGTCCCTAACTCACATACATACATACACATACTAGGGCCAATTTAGAGAGGAGCCAATTCACCTACTAGCATGTCTTTGGATTGTGGGAGGAAACCGGAGTACCCGGAGGAAACCCACGCAGGCACAGGGAGAACATGCAAACTCCATGCAGGTGGTGCCATGATTGGGATAAATGCAGTGCATTCATAAAGTATTCAGACCCACTTCACTTTTTTCAGTTTTGCAAGTGTTGTTGCAAAGGGTCTGAATGCTTATGCCAATGTGATATTTTAGTTTTTCCTTGTTCATATATTTGCAAACATTTTTAAAATTCTGTTTTCACTTGTCATTATGGGGTACTGAGTGTAGATTGAGGGGAAAAAAAAATAATTTAAACAACTGTACTATCAGGTTACATGACAAAATTTTAAAAAAAGTGATGAACGTACTTTATATTTAGCGATTTATTAATGGATAAAGATCTGCATGATTGTATGTCCTCTATATCTGCTTGGACATCAGCTTTAATGTGTGAATCAGTGATGTCCTAATCCAGACTGCTATGATAATTGGTCACTACCCAGCAATCATTGGCAGTGAGTATGAGCTGTGCTATGTCTGTGCTCTTCCCCACATTCACTAACAAGCCACTTGATTTTCTTATGCAGTTTTGTACAGTAGAGTTCCTTTTTTTTTCTTTTTTCATGTTTTAATACCGAAAAGCGGGGCCGCAATATGATCAGCTTTGTAAATAGTATGCGTTGCTCACCGTGTTCTGCTATGTTTGTACAAGCTCTTGAACTGCATATTGTACCAGTGGGAAATCGCCAAATTATGCTCATTGTCTTAGGAGAATTGTAGAATCCCTTTACAGACATTTACTTGATTCATATAGACTTTTGAATAGAATGTTTCCTCCATGGTAACAAGGAAAATTTGAGCTTTTATAATTGGACAAAGTGGGTGCTTAGGATGCATTCACACTTGAGCGTTTTGTAGCTTGATGCTCAAAGCTCCAAAAAAGTGCAAACTTAAAAAAAAAAAAAATCAATTGTTCTGTATGGTGCCTGTTCACATCTGTTCAGGTACCATAGAGAACAATTGATTTTTTACATTTTTTTTTTTGGAGCTTCAAGCTATAAAACACTCATGTGTGAATGCAGCCTAAAAGTGTTATTAATCCATAACAATAAAATCAGTCTGTATATGCAGTAAAGCATGCTTGGTATACTCCCTGTGAAGCCTAAGGGGTTAATCCTCCACATTGTGTAAAAAAAAAAAAAAAAAAAAGAAAAAGAAAAAAAAGCTGTCTGATCCTGTGTTCTATGATTCTCCCAAGCCCCCAAATCCATCTGCTGATAGAACAGAGCCTTGGGGGCAAGCTGCACATGCTCAGTTAGGTGTGTATTACTAGAGAGTGATTTTTTTTTTTTTTTTCACCCGTGAGAGTGCATGTGACCAGCACAGGGCCAATCAGCACAGAGGGTCAGGGGTTATGCAGTCTCATAGGAAAGTCAGGGGAGAATGAAAACTCCTCCTTCAAGCTTTAATCAGTGCTCTGCTGGACACTGATAGGAGTCACAAGACTGCTTTTAACTGCCGATGAGAAAAGGTATCTAGCAGTTTTTATTTACTAAAATATTTGTATTTCCATGTTCTGTGTACTCTGGAAGACCAGTTATAGTGAATGCCGGGTTAAGTAATTTTATAGCCAATACAAGCAAAATGGCATAAGATAGTTACAGCAGAACTCTGGTGAAAAAGTATATAGTCCATTAAAAGATAATTTAAAAAAAAAAGATTGAATAAAGATTGTACTGATCTTCATGGCACACATAAAGTCCCATTTGCCTTTCCCCACCCTTGTTGGGTAGTAAAGGGCATCCAATTTGTAATTTTAAAAAAAAGCTTTTTTGCTTCAGTGCTCACTTTCAATGGTTGTCTTTTGGAGTACTTTTTTTTTTTTTTTTCTCTCTCTTCTTCTTTTACCACTAGATATCCTCACTTCTCAGTTGAATGACAGCCACAGTCATTAGATCAATTCCTACGAGTCTAGATTGTCAGCTCAGTGATCAGCTCATCTCTGTCACTCTGCCTTTTTCCTCCTTTTAAGCATGCTCCTTGTGCTCCTTTTTCCTCTCCAACTCTAAGCTCTGCTGTACAGTAGACTGCAATACCAGGTCAAATGCAGATACATTGCTTGTATATAAAAAATGAATACAGAGCTGCATTTATTTGTCTTGAATACTAATTAAAAAATAATTGAAAGTTCTAAAGCCAAGACTTTTTACACTTTTAATTAATTCCTTGTATTAAGGTAAAAAATGTCCCAGTAGCAGTATCGCCCCCTCAACCTCCTAAATACTCGCTCAATCCAGCACTGTATCTGTCTGTAGCTGCTCTCTCTCCCTGCATTCACAAGACAGAGAGGCAGCAGTGGGAGTCATTGGATCCTGCAGCTGTTAGTCAAATCCTGTGAGCAGAGAGTGGGGAAGGTAGGGCTGAGCCATGCTGTGCGCATCTATAGATGCACACAGCCTGTCTCAGGAGCAAGCCTGCACATCTGAAAGCGGCGTGCTTCGGCGACAGAGAAGGAGCCAAGAGGTACAGCGGGGGACCCCAGATTAGGAGTTTCGGAGCAGCTCTGTGCAATACTATTGCACAGATCAGGTAAGTTTGTCATGTTATTTTAATAGAAAAAAAAGCCTTTGTGACTGCTTTACAAAATCTTTGCAAAATGTCAGAAAACGTGTGTTTTTTTTTTTTTTTTTTTAACATCGAACAGTCCTGCAGATTTTTCTTGTGCTAAAGTTGTAGAAATGTATGTAAACCCAAATCACAGACCTAATAATGTATAGGCATATGTTTGGAATCCAGACATGATCTAGGCCATTCACAGTCTTTGAAAAGCATGAAATGCTAAAGTTTACCTTCTCCCTTCTCCATGCAACTTGTCCAGGATGGAGCAGAGTGATTATGATTGGCCAGCACTGTCAGAGCATTGCTTTGGTCCGTCCTGGAAGCACTGAACAAAGAAGAGGGAGAAGAGTGGGGGGGGGGGGGGGGGTTCCTTACCTGATGAGAGGGCACTGACAGCTCATCACTCAAAGGTAAGAACAGAGACCAGGGGTGTGGTCGGCAGGGTTTATAGTGTGGGTTTATGGTGTTAGTTTTTTCTGTAAGGGCGAGCTAACTAAAGGTGGAAGCAATAGAAAATTCAGGTTTTGGGTTGTGCCCAGAAGGAGAATCGTAGAGAGACTTATTCCAATGAGGACACTAGTTCTGGTGACCCTGTCGAAAACCAGGGATTCCCTTGCTTTAAGGGGCTTTCTCTCTCTTCCTGTTTTGTGTATGGGAATAGGAAGTGAAGGGGAATCTTCCCAATGGGAAACAGATGACAAAAAAAAAAACCTTACAGGGGTTATAACCCTCTCTTACTCTTCAAAATAAAAAAAAAAAGTTTTGTCTTTTTTAGTTCTACTTTAATTACCTTTTATGATGTCTTCTGCTAGAGGTTTCAATGGCGTAGGTTTTTAATGCATAATTTTTTTTCTTCTATTTAGGATTGGACAATGCCACTCTGTCCTCACCAAGCTGCTCTACTGGAACAACTCCCAGTACGACAAAAACCTCTAACCGAAATACAGCGCCATCTGCCGGTGAGAAAGATGAGGGCAACAAGAAAAAGGTTCGGAGGCAGTGGGAGTCCTGGAGCACAGAGGACAAAAACACCTTCTTTGAGGCCCTTTATGAAGTGAGTGCTGTTTTATGTGCCTTTTTGTCAATTTAAATACTCAAAGCAAACTCACCCATCCATCCATGACTTCATGATTTATTTTGCTGAGAAATCACTTTGAAAAACACCGCTCCTCCACCCCCTAGCATTCCAGGCCATGGCCATCTTGAGTAAGGGCAGATGATACATGTAGCGGTGACTTCTGGAATCCATCTGCCCTTAGTTCAAACATACAATTATGAGGGTGTGCTTAGCTGAGAAGCCCCTCCTCCCTTTCAGAAGAACCCTGGGATGTATGACATCATTTGCCTGTGCAAAAAAAGTAACTGAAGAAACATTAATAAAAATTTTTAAAACCGGTAAATATAATATATGTTCCTTTTCTATTTACTAATGCAAGCAACAAAGGATTAAAAATAGCCACTGTTGATTGAGAGAGTGACTTTCTACTTTTTAAGGACCATTTCACACAGGTGGCAAAAGGGTGGTAAAAACAGGCAGTTGATTCACATTTTTGCAGCCTCCCCACCGCCCACCGAAATCCTAACATTGCAGCCGGGCAGTGTTTTTACACTTTCCATATCCACAAGCAAAGGTAAATTTAAGTTGGATTGCGACCGTTAAAAAGTGGCACTCGTATGCGAGCCAGCTGCTTGGTTGCGGCATGGTATACAACATGGTATTTTATACAAATTGCTTCCACATGTGTGCTCCCTTAAAAACTACATGTGCTAAATTTTTATTTTTCTAATAAAGACCTAATATAAAAAAAAAAATAAAATCAGAGGAAAGATACAAAAATAAGTGAAAAATACAGGGACAGCACAGCAAGAAAAAGTAAGCAATTATGAAATAAATAAACCAAATCATTTAAATGTTAAAAGCATATTTTTTTTTTTTTTTTTGTTTATGGTCTTGAGTAAGAAACCTAGGTATGGGAAACACCGATGGCTGTTTGCAGGGACTACATAGTAAGCACTAAAGAGATGCATTCAGCCCCCAGGCCACAAGCTTGGCACAGCAGCGTATACATTTGATGCACAAGGGTTTTTCTTACCTACTATTTATATAGCTCTACTACCCATATGGAAGAAAAATGTATTTGAAAAATATTCTTCCCCAATATACTACAATTTTGGCCATATTCAAAATATATATATATATACACATACACACTGTATGTTGAAATGCGTTTTTATTACAAAATATATGAAAATTATTTTTAAAAATACATATTTTTTAAATATATTCTTCAGATTTTTTTTTTTTTAAATAATTTTAACATATATTTCTACATATATTTGTAAATGCATTCCAAAAATGTAGATTTGTATTTTTAAAGACATACAGTATTTTTGAAAATGTACTTTTAAAAATATTTTTCATATATTTTGTAATAAAAGCGCATTTCAACATACAGTGTGTGTGTGTGTGTGTGTGTGTATATATATATATATGAGTATGGGTAAAATGTAGTATTTCAAATATATATATTTTTTCCCCATGTGGCTATCAAACTTCAAACCACCCTTTATCGCATTTTATCTATTTTTGTTTGACCAGATGTGTTATTCTTTTAGTTCTTTTTTAGTATAGGGTTGCTGTCAGAGCGCATATACTATAGGTGGTCACTTTTTTTTAGCACTGCTGAGTGATGGAGCCACATCAAACAATAATTGTCGCTGCGGCTAGTAGTATTGTAGCAGGACATGGTTGAGGCAAACCTCATTTTGCATCTGTTCTTTCACTCTTTAGCATGGGAAGGATTTTGAAGCCATTCAGAACAACATCGCCCTCAAGTACAAAAAGAAAGCCAAGCCAGCCAGCATGGTAAAGAACAAGGAGCAGGTCCGCCACTTCTACTATAGAACATGGCACAAAATCTCCAAGTACATAGATTTCAACAATGGTGAGTGTCCTCTGCTTATTATTTTCTTTCCATACTTTAAACACTTTTGTATTTCTTTTCACAGTATTTAAAATGAACCTGTGTTTTGCCCGTGCATCCCTGCCATTAATATAAATATTGCCAAGTTGACATACCTGTAAAAGAAGATTGAATACTTACCTTTTCACTGCTTGTCACGAGACTCCGTTCTATTAAAGCAGAACTATAAGCAAAACATTTTTTTTTTTCTCATTTTGCAATACAGTAAGGGAGGGTTATAACTAGTGGTGCACCAAAATGAAAATTCAGGTGCCGAAACCGAAAATTCAAAATGCACTTGACCGAAACCAAAATGTGCAGTTTTTAAACATGAATATATATTTTTTGGAAAAAAATACACTTTGATTAAAAAAAAAACAATATATACCCCAATTGTTTTGTAAAATATGCAAGAGGATGTTACGGCAAGTAAATACCCAACATGTCACGTTTTAAAATTGCGCACGATCGTTGAATGGCGTGAAACTGCGGTGCTTAAAAATCTCCATGGGTGATTCTTTAAAAATTTCTACAGGTTAGCAGTGTAATGTTACAGAGGAGGTCTAGTGCGAGAATTACTGCTCTTGCTTCGACGTTCGTGGCGATACCTCACGTGTGTGGTTTGAACAACATTTACATATGTGGGAATGCCCTACGTATGCGTTCACCACTATGTGCGAGCACGGGGGGACGGGGGCACTTTAAACTTTTTTTTTTTTTTTTAAATGTATTTAATGTTTTTTTTTGTTATTTTTATTTTTGCACTGTTTCTTTAAAAAAAAAAAAAAAACCAAACTGTAATCACTTTGATTCTTATCACAAGAAATGCATGCATCCCTTGTGATAGAAATAATTAGTGACAGGTTCTCTTTATAGTGAGATATGGGGTCAATAAGACCCCACATCTCTCCACTGCAATGTAAAGCATTGAATTAAAAAAAAACATTGATCTAGTGCTTTTAAGAGGGAAAAAAAAAATATGGCTGGAAGTGACATCGCTCCAGTGCTCCAAGGGCATACAGATGTGCGCCGGCCATCTTTCCTTCTCTCATCTCTATGCGCAACGCCGGGATCGATGGTTTCTCAGTTAAGACTGTACTACCGAGCGGTGGCGGGCGGGCGGCTTTGAGGGGCTGGGTTTTTTCGGCACCTGTATTGTTGCTTTTTTTCATTACAGCCGAAAGGGGTGTTTTCGGCTGAAATGTTTCGGCAACCGGAATTTCGATGCATCCCTAGTTATAACTGAGGTTTATTTTTGCCAACAGAGTCGCTTGGGGTAGATTTACCTTCACTTCCTGTCCCATAGCTGAAAGAAAGTGATAGAAGATCCCTGCAAATTAAAGGAAATTCCTTAGGGACCCCCAGGTCTCCAGATCTAGTGTCCCCATTGGAAAAACTCCCCTCTATTTCTTTTCTGGGGACAACCCAAAATTTGGGGTTTCTTTTGCTTTCACTTTCCCTCTGACCATCATGTCCTTACCAGACTCGGTAGTGACATGGGGGTCAGCAGGAGGAATCAGCAAGAGCTATAAAGGGCCCTGATATTGACACCCTCTGAAGACCTTAGAACAAGGTTTCTACTAAGCAGAGCAAATAGTTGTGTGGGCATCGGGAATGGTAAGTATTTACAGCCATCCTTTGCTGATGTTGTCCCCTGCCCCTCTGTTCAGCCATCGGGAGTGAAGGTTAGTTCAGCAGAGCTACTTGTCTACACCCCTGGAATATACTGCATATACTGGCAGGTTTAGCCATCCTTCTGGCTTTGTACTGTATATCTTGAGAACTCAATCAAAAATGCTTCTGCTTTTGAGTTCTCGTCTATGCCCACTTTCTTTGACCATTATCAGGAGCATCTTTCCCTCTCTCTGAAAGGGACCCAAAAACTTAGTTCTGGACATTTCACCTTCTAAGTGCCTCAAATGAAGTGGCCAGGGGATGATTCAGCTTATGACAATGCACCAGTAAATAAAGTATTACTAAAGGCAAAACGTACTTTTAGTTTTGGATAAAGTGAGAGTAAAGGAAAATTCCAAATTCTGGATTGACCTCAGAACGGTAATAGAGGGGGGATCTTTCAGTGGGGACATATTCTGACACACCAGGATTCTTTCACTTTGGAGGGATTTTCTCTAACTTTCTGTTTTTGGATTTGGGACAGGAAGTGAAGAGAAATCTCCCCAATGGAACACAGATGAAAAAGAAAATGACTGAGGTTATACCCCTCTCTTACTCCATCCAAATTGAAAAAAAAAAAAAAAAACAAAAAAAGTTTTGCCTTTTAGTTACATTTTAAGATACTAATTTTGTGTGCATTAACCAGTCTATTATTTTTTATATTAAAAATCATTTGAAACCAATCCTAACCATGTTTTCTATTGTTCCACTACCCCCTCCCTCCTAGATTGTAAGCTTGAAAGAGTAGGGCCCTCTTACCCCTCGTACGCTGTCTGTTTTTGTTGTACTGTGCCATGTATTGTCCCCCCTATTGTACAGCGCTGAGCAAACCCTTTGGCGCTATATAAACTCGATGTAATAATAATAATAATGTTTCTTTCGTTTAAAGAATGGATTGGATCAAAAGACCCAATCTACAGTGATCACACAACCTATGTTCTTCTTCGCTATTCTATATGACAGCAGTGGAATGTTTTGTTCTGTAATGCAAAATGCCTTAATACTTCAAGACATATGAAGAACTATAAACAAAAATATACTAGCATTTTTCCACTCATGACACATGTGTTTAATTTTTTTTTTTTCCCAGTATTTCCTTGTGGTTTTAAGAAGTCATCACAGGAGCTCTATGGCCTCATCTGCTATGGGGAGCTCCGGAAAAAAATTGGCGGATGTAAGTTTTTGTTTGTTTTTTTTTTTTTTTTTTTTCTTGGTGTAGAGGCAATGCAAACATGGAAAAGAATAAGATGACGTGATGCCAATATATTTTAGTATTAGGTAGCTTAACAACCATAATTTGTGGAATAACGTTTTCAGACATGGTTCCTTGTTCTGAGAAACTGGCAGTGTGCAGTCCTAGTTCTGAACCAATCCGTGTGCTTCCTGCTCATGTGATCTCTTTGACAGACAGTGATGGTGAAAACACTTGCAGGCTAAACATATTTATTGGTATACAAAGTTTTGCAGCATGCAGAGGTTTCACTTGCTCTCCCATTCTTTTTCTCTTTTCTCTCTCTTTCTCTTTCATACACACTTACACTCGAAGTAATCTGGTACACAGCAGGGTTTATATGGTAATTTTTATCACGTGACGATAACCATAAGTACCGTTGAAAAGCTTTGCTTTATATAGATGCCATGTGGTGGTCATGCCACTAGCGAGTCTATGTTCCTAAAGTTTTTTTCCTTGTAGGCATGGATGATAAGAATGCGGCCAAGCTGAATGAGCTGATACAGTTAGGGTGAGTATAAAATGTTTCCTGGTACCTGATATCATATGACTTTCCATTGTTCCTCGTGCATTCCATAAATTCAACCTTGTTGTTGGTACTGGTCTTTGGGTTTAATGGTTGTTGTTTTGTTTTTGTTTTTTGTTTTTTTCAAAGCCGTCTTAGCCAAAACTTTTTGTAGGGGTAAGCAACAAGTTCACTTAAAGCGGCGTTCCACCTGGGGAAAAAAAAAAAGTCAGCAGCTACAAAAACTGTAGCTGTTGACTTTTAAAATAGAGACACTTACCTGTCCCTTGGTCCAGCGGTGTCCTCACAACCGCTGGTTTCACCGGCTGTCTTCTCTCTCCCTGGCACCGGCATCTTCAGTGTGGGCCCCCGTTGTGACCATTTGAGGCTTCACAGCCAGGTGCCCACTGCACATGCACGAGAAGCGCTGTGCTTTGTTAATGGCCCTGTAGTCTTCTGGGACCTGTCACGTGTCCCAGAAGACTATGGGGAGGGAAGGTAGGAGGACAACTTCCGCTTCCGATCACCTAGGCGATCGCAGGGGAAGTGGGAGCGGGTACCTTTCAAATTCGGGTACCCGCTCCCCAAAGGTGCCAGTCCTTAATGGGGAGCGGGGGGACAAAGGCTTTAAAGTGTAACTCCAGGCAAAAATCGTTTCAATACTGTTGTGTATTCCTAAAGATTACCTCTATATATGTGCTCGTGAAAATCCCTCAACTTCCAGCGGTTCTTACCTGCTGATCCTGCCAGTATTCCTGTGTTGACCGCACTTCCTTTAGAAAAGGACTAGCACTGCAAGGTCATTGCTGAAATTCCAGTAGCTTGGTAACCTTCCATCTCAAGCTTGTTCCCTAAGGAACATAGGACTGCGTAGACATGCTGGGGCTTCCTCTAAGATTCAGGCTTTGCCACTGTGTCACTGTTCACCTGTTCTGTCAAGAGAGAGTGAGTTGAGGAGTAGCTGTCCTTGCAAGGACTGTTGGACAGTGCAGTCTGGAACAGAAGAAGGAAGTCACGCTCAAAGCCCCGCAAAAAAACCTGTGACCACAAGAATACCTTTGCAAAATTTATGGAAATGCATGTATAAGAGTGTAGTATCATCCTTTCCCTACACTGTCATATGTGTAGCTTTGATATCTATTTTACATTTTTAGGCATGCCCAAACGTATAATAAGAATCAATGGCTGATGACAATTCACACATGTATTTTATTAGAGCTGAAACTTCATGCGCTAAGTACCAATCTTCAGGAGTAAAAAATTTCAAGAAGCCAAATAAAAGTGTTGCATCAGATTACACTTTTCTCAGCCTTGTGGATAAAGTAAAGGGAGATCATTTTTGACTGGTTCCAGGTCACTGTGTTCATGCATTGCGTTGTGCTGTATGTTGGAGTTTTATTCGCTGGCCTCATAGTTATCCATCAGGTGTCTTTACTCTGTAGCTCAACATTTCCAGGTGTAAGTACTGCTAGTTGCTAGACCAGGCTGTCACTGATGGCTCTGATCCCCACTTTTGATCAGGAATCAATCAGCTTTTTTCCCAGTAATGTGATCACAATGACTGCCATGAAATGAGGTTTGCATGAAAGCTGCCAAAGAGTTAAATATAAGAGCTCCTCTATTGCAGGGACCTGCAGAGTCACTTTAGATGGCACTGCTAAATTAGCTCTGTACATCTAGATTTCAATGTTCTGTTGTATCACATGAAATGCGATTTATAGCGTTCACTGGTATCACAGTGCATCCAGAAAGTATTCACAGCGCTTAACTTTTGCCACATTTTATTATGTTACAGCCTTATTCCAAAATGGATTAAATTAATTTTTTTCCTCAACATTCTACAAACCATACTCCATAATGAGAACGTGAAAGAAGTTAGTTTGAAATGTTTGCAATTTATTAAAAATAAAACACACATGTACATACGTATCACAGCCTTTGCCATGACACTCAAAATTGAGCTCTGGTGCATCCTGTTCCCACTGATCATCCTTGAGATGTTTCCACAGCTTGATTGGAGTCCACCTGTGGACATGATTAGGAAAGGCATAAACCTGTCTATATAACGTCCCACAGTTATTCCTCATGCACACGGGACGTTTTTACAGCTGCTGTTTTTGGCTTTTGGCGGTTTTCTTTCTACAGCCAGTAAACTCCCCAGCATGTTAACCTATGTGTCCATACACACACATAGAATGCAATCAGCGTTTTTTTTGGCTCTAAAAAAAACCCCCCCAGAATTAGTGGGTTTCTAGAGGAGTTTTTTTAGCTGTAAAAACACTCTTAACTCTGAAAAACTTGACAAAACGTGGTAAACCAGTGTTTTTGGACTTTTCTTGAGAAAAAAATATTTCTTTTTTTGGTTAAAAAAAAAACACTAAAAACCTGCAAATGCGGCAAAATGCCGCTAAAAGCTAAAGCAAAAATGCTGAAAAACGTGCCTTTACACAGCTAACGTTACCAGCATTATTAAAACTCCCAGTGTTCATGGAGCCTTATAAGTGCATGTCCGAGCACAAACCAAGCTATGAAGTCCAAGGAATTATCCGTAGACCTCCGAGACTGGATTGTATCAAGGCACAGATCTGAGGAAGGGTACAGTAAAATGTCTGCAGCATTGAATGAGCATTGATGAGCACAGTGGCCTCCATCATCCGTAAATGGAAGAAGTTTGGAACCACCTGGAATCTTCCTAGAACGGGGCTGCCTGGCCGAAATGAACAATCAACAGAGAAGGGCCTTAGCCAGGGAGGCAAACAAGCCACCCGATGGTCACTCTGAAAGAGCTCCAGCGGTTCTCTGTGGAGAGCGGAGAACCTTACAGAAGAACTACCATCTCTACAGCACTCCACCAATCAGGCCTGTATGGTAGAGTAGCCAGACGGAAGCCACTCCTCGGTAAAAGGCAAATGGCAGCCCACCTGGAGTTTGCCAAAAGGCACCTGAGGAACTCTCAGACCATGAGAAACAAAACTCTCTGGTCTGATAAAACAAAGATTGAACTATTTGGTCTAAATGCCAAGCGTCATGTCTGGAGGAAACTAGCACCGCTCACCACCTGGCCAATGCCATCCCTACAGTGAAGCATGGTGGTGGCAGCATCGTGCTGTGGGGATGTTTTTCAGCGGCAGGACCTGGGAGACTAGTCAGGATCGAAGGAAAGATGAATGTAGCAATGCACAGAGACCTCCTTGATGAAAACCTGCTCCAGAGTGCTCTGGACCTTAGACTGGGGCAACAGTTCATCTTTCAACAGGACAACGACCCTAAGCACACAGCCCACATAACAAAGGAATGTCCTGCAGTGGCCCAGCCAGAGCCCAGACTTGAACCTGATTGAACATCTCTGGAGAGATCTGAAAATGGATGTGCACCGACGCTCCCCATCCAACCTGATGGAGCTTGAGAGGTACTGCAAGGAAGAATGGAAGAAAAAGCCCAAAATAAGTGTGCTAAGCTTGTAGCATCATACTCCAAACGACTTGAGGCTGTAATTGGTGCTAAAGGGGCTTCAAGAGAGTGTTGAGCAAAGGCCGTGAATAGTTATGTACATGTTTTTTTTTTTTTTTTTTTTTTTTTAGTTTTTTATTTTTAACAAATTGCAAACATTTAAAAACAAACTTTTTTCACATTGTCATTAGGGGGTATTGTTTGTAGAATGTTGAGGAAAAAAAATGTATTTAAATAATTTTGTAATAAGGCTGTAACATAAAATGTGGCAAAAGGTAAGTGCTGTGAATACTTTCTGGATGCACTGTGTGTGTACACACACACACGCGATATATATAAAACGTCTACACAAAGGTATATCATTTCTGAACTTTTTCCACCTTTTAATGCGACCTATAATCTGTACAACTCAATTGAAAAACAAACTGAAATCTTTTAGGGGGACAAAGTAAACATTAAAAAACAAAAATAATAGGTTGTGTAAGTGTGCACACCCTCTTATAACTGGGGATGTAGCTGTGTTCAGAATTAAGCAATCGCATTCAAAATCATGTTAAATAGGAGTCAGTACACACCTGCCATTATTAAAAGTGCCTCTGATTAACCCCAAATAAAGTTCAGCTGTTCTAGTAGGTATTTACATTTTCTTAGTCGTATCCTACAGCAAAAGCCATGGTTCGAAGAAAGCTTCCAAAGCAACAGAGGGATCTCAATGTTAAAAGGTATCAGTAAGGAGAAGGGTACAAAAGAATTTCCAAGGTATTAGATATGCCATGGAGCACAGTGAACACAGTCATCATCAAGTGGAGTAAATATGGCGCAACAGTGACATTACAAAGAACTCTACGTCCCTCCAAAATTGGTGAAAAGACGAGAAGAAAACTGGTCTGGGAGGCTGCCAAGAGGCCTAGATCAACATTAAAGGAGCTGCAGGAATATCTGGCAAATACTGGCTGTGTGAACAATCTCCCGTATTCTTCATATGTCTGGGCAATGGGGTGGAGTGGCAAGATGGAAGCCTTTTCTTACAAAGAAAAACATCCAAGCCAGGCTACATTTTGCAAAAACACATGTGAAGTCTCCCAAAAGCATGTGGGGAAAATGTGTTATGGTCTGATGAAACCAAGGTTGAACTTTTTTGGCCATAATTCCAAAAGGATATGTTTGGTGCAAAAACAACACTGCACATCACCAAAAGAACACCTTACCCACAGTGAAGCATGGTGGTGGCAGCATCATGCTTTGGGGCTATTTTTCTTCAACTGGAACTGGGGCCTTAGTCAAGGTAGAGAGAATGATGAACAGTTCCAAATACCAGTCAATATTGGCACAAAACCTTCAGGATTCTGCTAGAAAGCTGAACATGAAGAGGAACTTCATCTTTCAGCATGACAACGACCCAAATACATCCAAATCAACAAAGGAATGGCTTCACCAGAAGATGATTAAAGTTTTGGAATGGCCCAGCCAGAGCGCAGACCTGAATCCGATTTGAAAATCTGTGGGGTGATCTGAAGAGGGCTGTGCACAGGAGATGCCCTCGCAATCAGACAGATTTGGAGTGTTTTTGTAAGGAAGAGTTGGCAAATATTGCCAAGTCAAGATGTGTCATGCTGATAGACTCATACCCAAAAAGACTGAGTGCTGTAATAAAATCAAAAGATGCTTCAACAAAGTATTAGTTTAAGGGTGTGCACACTTATGCAACCATATTATTTTAGTTTTTTATTTATACTTCACTCCAAATTTCAGTTTGTCATTCTACAGTTTGTAGGTTATATTAAAGGTGGAAAAAGTTCTGAAATCGTTTATCTTTCTCATTTTTTTATATCACAGAAACCTGACGTTTTAACAGGGGTGTGTAGACTATATATATTATTATTATTATACAGGATTTATATAGCGCCAACAGTTTGCTCAGCGCTTTACTATATATATATATATATATATATATATATATATATATATATATATATATATATATATATATATATATATATATATATATATATATATATAGCCCAAACTTAAATACAATAAGGTTTAACAATAAAGCATCTCTGTAAATGATGCTGCATGAATGTTGTCATTCCAACTTGTCTTCTTTTGGACATGTGCTATAAAGGGTTCAGTGCATTGTCTGCATTATTGGTAGGACATACAGACAGTTTTAGTACATTGCTTGTTTATTTTCATCTATTGGTTTTTAAAATTCTTTTCACAGAGCAACTACTGTGCGGTACAAGGGAAGGAACTTGCGGATTAAGGCTCCAATGTGTCGAGCGTTGAAGAAACTTTGTGACCCTGAAGGAAAGACAGGTAACACTTACCAGCCTATCTGCTCAAACCCAAAGGGGTTGATTTACTAAAACTGGAGAGTGCAAAATGTGGTGCAGCTGTGCATGGTAGCCAGTCAGCTTCTAACCTGTTCAAGTAAACTTTTGACAAAACAAACCTGGAAACTGAATTCTTTACAGAACTGCCGCAGATTTTGTACTCTCCAGTTTTAGTAAATCAACCCAAAGTGTTGCCTTGATACAGAGAATGCAGCTGTTTGTTGAGTAGGCTAATCGTCAATTTACAGTAACATGACCCAAGCCTTCCTTTGCTATACATTTTATATTATAAAGCACCATGAACAGGTCAGTGTGAGAGTAAAGTGAATCTGTAATCCAGTTTAACCGGTTCCCTACTGCGCTATAGCCGAAAGACGGCTACAGCGCGGTTGTTTAGTTCTGAGAGGAAGTTCATGGGCATCCTCCCTGAACACGCCCCCAGCGGCACGGCGCCGGTGACGTTGTGTCTTACGGACACAGCTGATCACGTGATACAGTAAACGGCCAATCACAGCGGCCTTTTACCAAATGATCAGCTGTGTCCAATGACAAAGCAGATTACCGGGTAACTAGAGTTGCCGGTTTTTTTATAGTACTTTCCTCACGCTGTCACAGCATGAGGAAAGTACTACCGATAACCGGCAATTGTCAGAAAAGTGATTGGCACTGATGATCAGTGCCGCCCATCTGTGCCACCCACCTGTGCCCTGCTGTGCCACCCAGCAGAGCCACCAATCGGTGTCCAGCAGTGCCGTCACTCAGTGCCACCCATCAGTGCAGCATCATCAGTGCCAGCTCGTCAGTGCCTGTCAGTGCCGCCTGTCCGTGCCACCTCATTAGTGCACATCAGTGCCGCCTATCAGTGAAGGAGAAAAATTACCTGTTTGCAAAATTTTATAATAGAAACAAAGAAAAACTTTTCTTTCTTTTTTTTTTTTTTTTTTTTTTTTTACTTTGTTGCTCTTTTTCTGTTTATAGCTCAAAAAATAAAGCACCCAGTGGCGATTAAATACCACCAAAAGAAAGCTCTATTTGTGTGGAAAAAAATTATAAATGTTGTATGACCGCGCAATTGTCATTCAAAGTGTGACAGCGCTGAAAGCTGAATATTGGCCTGGGCAGGAAGGGGGTAAAAGTGCCCAGTAGGCAAGTGGTTAAACCTTTGATTTTAAACTGAACCTTTTGGGGGGATTTTTTTGTTTTTTTTCCCAAATGCTTTCAGGCTGCTTAAATAAATAGATAGTAAAGGAAATGTCCGTATTCTCCTTCTGACAGCAGCAGACTAGAGATCCAGACTTCTTCTCTCACATAGAATTCCACAATCTGGATCTCCAGCAGTCTGACACACCACCTACACATTACTGCATCAACGCTGCTCAGGGAGCACAAGTGTTACTTGGAGCACAGTATTTTGGGCTGTATAGGCAATGTGTCAGAACCCTGCAGAACCAAACCACTGCACTTGATGTAAGATTTCCAGCATGCTGCCAGCACAGGAGATACAGCAAAGGCTACAGCACACTAGAACATTGAAAAAAAAAAAAATGCATGCTTGACATTTTAGGCAGCCTGACTACATCACTATAAAATAATAAAAAACAAGGTTCATTGAGGTTAAAGTCTTGCCTATTGCTGGTATTACCTTTTTTATTGTCCAGAAAGCCTTTTCTGTGCCCCACTTTCATTTAGCTGTGCTTTTGTACTGGGGCCTGCCATGATTATTAAACTACATTCACTGCCATCCCCCGTCTATAGTGCCCTTGCTAGTCACTGGGACAATCTCACTGCACGGTGGAAAAACATTGAGTATACATTTTGTTTTGTTTTTTTTAAACCCCGAAACTTCTCTTTTAAAGTAGTTTGTTACTGCCCACACACTGAGTAGTTTTTGATTGTAGAAGTGGGAGACAAAAACATAGAGTGTAAAAAAGCTTCTCTAAAGAAACAGGATTTTTAAAGAACACTTAAAATGGTGTGATGAGATTTATTTGCGTCTCGGAGGTGGGTTGTTTGTGTGGTAAGCTGCATGAATTCCATTTCATCCTACAATTGACTGCCTACATAGAAATTGGATGCATGTCTGTGTTTTTTTTTTTTTTTTTTTTTCCTGGCTTCAGCTATTGGATTGATTTTATAACTTATCATTTTCCAGGCCTGAGTGATGAAGAGGATCAGAAACCAGTGCGATTGCCTCTGAAGGTACCCATAGAACTTCAGCCAAGGAGTAACCAGGCCTGGGCACGTGTACAGAGCCTGGCACAGAATCCACGCCTCAGGTATGGGAATGGATCGAAGACATTGGTTAAAGTTACTGCCTTTGTGTATTTCTCCAAGGGGAATTACAATGATATTGGGTACATTTTATTTACAGCCTTACTCTGAGCTCTAGGCTTTCCCTTTTGTGGCCCCTGCCAAAAGTATATTTTTTTTACTTTTTTCTGATGTCTTCTGGCAGGTCACATGACCTGCAAGATCGCCTTCCTCCTTGGTCTTCAGTGGTGGGCAAGGGAGATTGCGGGTAAGCTAGAGTGTTATGCTCGCACCCCATCTAGGTCCCGAGCCGCTGATGAAATGCCTAGTGAGAAGGGGGCCACAGACACACTGGATACAGCCTATGTATCGCAGCAAGACCATCCATTGCAGGAGGGAGATGGGGCAGAAGCAGCAGTGCCATTATGTGAGACAAAGGGAGAAGTGATGCAGCCAGGCAGTTCACATGCTGCTACTGAACCAACCCTGGCAGATGTGTTTCTAGCAGTACAAACTTGTAATACCTCCCTGCAAGTCCTAACCAACCAGGTCCTGAGTATTAAAGAAGACATAACAGTTGTCCGTCAGGACTTACAAAAAATAAGTGAATGTACCATTGTGCTGGAGGGAAGAGTAAGCTCAGTGGAGGATGATAATGGCCCCATGAAAGATGAACTACAACATACCAGAGCTAAGATGGTCAATCAAGAATATAGGCTGGAAGATATGGAGGATAGGCAAAGGAGGAATATTGCCAATATCCTTGGCCAATCGGGGGACGTATTGAGGTAAAACACCCAGCTGATTATATTGAAAAATGGCTAATTGCACTATTTGATAGAGAAAGTTATACTGCCATGTTTGCTGTGCAACAAGCTTATAAAATACAGGCATGCCCATTAACTCTTGATCATCTCCCACTCTTTTTTTTTTTTTTTTTTTTTTGTCTTGAAACTACTCAATGATAAGGACAAATCTATAAACCTCACACTGGCTTGTAAGTAGAGGAATATTGAATGTCATGGAGCAAAGATCTCCTCCTTACCCAGTTTTTCGGTGGAAGTGCAGATTCAGCGTGCAAAGTACACAGATGTTAAAAAATGGCTCTGAGCCCTGCAGCTTCCATATGCAATGCTCTGTTCAGCTAAACGCAGGGTTGTGTATGGAAAAACCTTGCAATTTATTTGGTATTCCGGGTGCTGCAGGATCCTGGTTAGATAGAAGTGAACAGAGGATTCCCTCCAGAAATAAAGTCTCTTCGCTTCTGAATAAGTTACTTATAGCCTCGAATTCTGCTGTTTTAGGTGTGTAGCCCCTGTATACCCGTCAACATGTTTTGGTCTTTCAGAATATGACGCTTTGCGGTTTTTAGTTGGACTCACTTTTGGGCCACGGGTTCTCTCCCCAGCAGTGTTCCTGAGAGGAAATATTGGTTTATAGTTTGCGTGCGTTTTTTACTCGTTTTTTTTTTTTTTTTTTCTGCAAGGTTTTGCTGAGGTTTTTTCTAAGTCATGTGCTTACGGGTCCATGTATACCAGCTATATTCATGTTCTACCTTTTACCATTAGGAGTTGTTTGGGGCACTCTAGCCCTGTACCTTTTGCTGAAACAGTCGCTAATTTGCTTAGGCATAATCTGGATACTGTCACATGCTGTACTTTTCCCCTTTTGGGGGAGATTATGGGACACATCCATACCAACTAGAGTTGGGTACTCCTACCATCATAAACAATTTGGACAATGTCTACGCAGAGAATTGTGATCTCATGGAATGTTATGGCCCTAGGAGATTCAAGTAAAAAACAGGTGGTTGGTCGGGAGGGGGTTTAGGTGTTTTGGATAATAATCTGAAGTCCATTCCTTTGGACCCTGGTCAGAAGCTAATTTCTAGATGCTATGTGGCTTTGGCTTTTAGTACTTCTAAGTTGGTGAGGAGGGCCAGAGATCATTGGTCTGCTGTTGTGCCGGAGTTGACAGGCAGTGGAGGGAGCTGCTTCACACTTATTTGTCTACAGTAATTGCAGCTATTGATACTGAATGCTACAAATACAGTTCTTGCATCAGACTTACTATATGCCTCTACGGTTGTTTCACATGCGGAAAAGGTACTCAGCGCTATGTCGCACATTTCAGTTCTTTGAAGGCACTTTTATACATATGACTTGGGAGTGTCCAAAAGGTCAGGCCTCTCTGGTCTCAGGTGACAAAGTTTATGGCTGACAATTTTGACTTCCCAAACATATATAACCCCCTTTTATGTTTGCTGGGTAACTAGTTACAAAATATTTAGTTATGGACTTTGTGTGGACATATAGAAGAGAAAAACTTCTTTTTTATGCACCGTTAAAAAATCTATTACACAACATTAAAAATTACTCCCCACATAGGGGTTCAAAGATTCTGATTAGCTTTCACATGTGGGCTCCACTCATTTCAGGAATCCTTCAGGAGCACATGTGACAGAATCCGTAAACTGGAACCCACTCCTAATCTTTAATAGAGTAACATGAGCTGGTAGGATAGGTTGGAATTCATAGGGTGCTCATGTTGCCCATAGAGGTGCAAATGAGTAAGCCAAGGTGAATCCACTACCTCTCATGTGGGAAATTCAGATACATTCAGTAAACAGCCACTGGTACACAAATTCTTAAAATGGAAGGACCAACTTCACATTGGGGAAGCATCCAGACCTAATGTAAGTAAGTCACCATAAAGACAGCATGGTAGTCCAAAGTAGTCAAGGCACATATATTCTAAAGAAAGGGCTCTTGATAAGTATATTAAAAACAAACTCCGTTCACATCAAGGCAACCTGTGAAATAATAGCCCCATAACGGAATCATTTTTCCCCCCCACGATCGATTAATGGAGACATCAGGTTAACAATACCATATCCCTGGAAAAAGCTAATATTCCAGCAAAGAACCTGCCCACAAAAGTTAGAACAGCTATGGAGTCCCTCTTTACTGGTGTCGGAATTGGCCCCATTTGTCTTGATAGGACAAAGATATATATTTTATCTCCGCCTTAATTGTACCTTATTTATGTTCTAATTTTAAGCTAAGGTACAAGGTGATACAGTGTCTCTGGTAAAGAGTAAATAGGAGATAATAGATGCTTTGCAAATACAGTTTTTTGTGATCATTTTATTGACTCCTTGACTGTTTACGAGAACAAATGTATATGCAAACAGTAAACCATCTCACATGAGCTAGTTATATGTATTAATTGCAGATATTATGCATTGTGAACAAATGTGCTACACTATTGAAATTCAAAAATTCTATACTTCAATGATCACTGTGTTGTTTCTTTGTACTAACATAATTGGGTTGTATATAAAACAAAAAATGGCACATGATTGTGTGTCTGAAAAAGCAAAAAATATCTGATTTAAAAGGGAAAAAAAAGTGTCTTGTATTTTATTAATTTTTTGTGTTTCCTTTCATTACTAGGATGATAGTCGAGCTGCACAGAAAAGTCTCCAGCCTCATAGAGTTCTTAAAACAGAAGTGGGCACTACAAGAGGTCCGGGTTGTATCCTTGTTTATTTCAGGTATTTGGGCTTTGGATGCAATACCAAGGTAAATTAAAGGTAACCCCATCTGCTATCTATTAGCTCAAAACATCAGACTGGTTGTAAACTACAGAGACTATGTCTAAAGCTAATTTTGTTTTTCATTTTGGATAGAGTAGGGGAGGATTGAAACCAATGTTGGTTTCATTTTTGCCATTTGTGCCTCATTACGGAAATTTCACTTTACTTGTCCAGTCCTGTAGACTCCACAGGAAGAGAGGGGGTATCTCTGCAATGTGAAGAAAATCACCTCTAAGGCTAGGTTCACATATGTTCTGGGGGTGCCGCTGTGGATCCGCACGAAAATCCGTTCAGCCGCACCACCCGCACTGAGGAATGTGGACCCGCGGGCTGGTGCCATTAGTTCTAATGGCACGCCACCCACACTGGAAAACTCAACCGTACTGGGAACCGAGGTTCCCATGCGGGCTGCGCTTTCAGAAGAAGTGCAGAGACTTCTTCTCTGCGTGTCAGGGGGCACGGGAGTCCATTCAAATGAAGGGGCTCTTGTGCCTGCATAAAATGCAGCCTGCATGGCAGCATATGTGAACCAGGGGTAAGACAATTGTGTTCACATTTGAAGATTTCCCCTCTATGTTTGTTCTGGTGGTAACTAAAAATTTTATATATACCTTCCCTTTTATTCCCTTTGACATTAGTCATCAGGACAGTCAAAGAAAGGTGAATGTCCCTGTTAGGGACACAGACCATGATAACAACCTGACAGTGGTTATACCACCTGAGCAAAGCTAAAAAGTTTTGCCTTTCTTTATACTCTAATTCTAGTCTTCTAGATTATTGATCTTCATTATGACCTCTGTTTCTGCTGACACAGCAATACAGAGCTGTGGGGTAAAAGCTCCTATTTGTCATAAGCCTGGGAAATTTTAAAATGAAGGCATGACAAAAAAATGAATGAAATATATCCAATCCGTAACTAAACACTTTGTTTTTTCCTAAAGCACTAAGTATCATAAACAGTGGTCAAGTTTTCCTTCTAGAATTTACTGATTTTGCTTATTTAGCCCTTTGTTTTCAGCTCTGTGACACTGAACTCCTGCAACCTCTTTGTAGCCACTTCTTTCCACATTTGCTTTAGAGGTGACTGCATGGCATTGAGGTTTCTGTATGGTAACAACAGCAGAACATGCCAGTACAATGGGCGTTGGCACAACAACTTGTAGTCTACATAAGATGTCCAGATGACAGGGTGACACTGCAAAAGAGCAATTGAGGGACAGAGACAGTGTTGTCACTCTATAACAGGAAGTTCCTGAACAAGGTCCTTCATGGTAGGATTGACAGATATTTTTTTTTTTTTATTGAAAGCTGCAGATTTAAAAAGATTGAAATGACTTTTGATGTTGCATAAACATGCTAACGATTATGAGATTTCAGTGTTTGGGTTTAGATCTACTTTATAGTTTACCATATGACCATCAGTTGAATTTTTTTTGTCGAAATTTCCTTTACTAACTCTCTCAGAGGAAATTCCTTGAGGATCCGCAGCTAGCAGAGGTGGAGGACTCCAAAGAGGACTTGTATCTATTCCCACCAGAGTCTGCACAGTTGTCATCTTTACCAGGTGTGGCTAGGGTGGTTCATTCCAAAGCTTACTGTACCGTCCATTGGCAAGAGTCTGGCAAGTGCAAACAAAGCTCCAAGGATGCTCTCTTGCCACCTGCTCAGATATTGGGTATCCAGACTGGACAAGGGACAGCGCGAGTGCAGCTAAAGTGCCCACGTGGCAGCACAGACACTAAACAAACAAACAAAATGGAAACGGCAAGCAATGCTTCAGCAGACAGGACCCCAACAATAGAAAATGGCCCTGGAGAGAACATAGCTTCTGAAGGGGTGCAAGATGGTCCGAAGACCCCTGATGAAGCCCCTCCTGAAACTATGGATATATCAACCAATCCAGACATACCTGGTGAAGTGTCCAGTAGTGAGCTGCCAATTGTGGATGAACTGTCAATAAATGACCCTTTTCCTCCTTACCTGAAGTCTTGCCAAGACCTCATTGTTCCAGAAGGAAGCCCATCAGCAGCAAATGTTGTGATAAGTCCACCCATATCTCCCAGTACCAATCCCAAAGGCTCTGGCCAGGCAGCTTCTCCCAGCCAGGAAAAGGCTGATGTTCAGTCTACAAACCCCCAGCAGGAGAATTGCACTACACAACCGTCAGGAACGGACTCTCAGGTGAAGGAGCAGAGTGGTTCGTCCAAAGCTCCCAAAGACAACTCTAACCAGCTCACTGAGCAGCTGCGTCAGGAAGGCTGGAACCAGCGCACTTCAGAAAATCTGACACTAGCTGAGGTCTACCTCATGTTGGGAAAGCCAGGCAAGTTACAGCTGGAGTACGAGTGGATGGATCCCAGCAATTCTGATGATCCTGAATGCCCACTACGCCACAAACAGAGACTCCTCAATTGTCTTTTAAGACTCATTGCTGCAGAAGTGAACTCTAAAACTGTAAGTATTTTTTTTTTTTCTTTGACCTGTGTTTGGGCTTTGTACAGAGAAGTGTAAAAGCCCTTCAATGCCTAGAGTTCATTGGAACCTAGATGCCCATGCCAAATTTAGTAATGTCGGTATGGTTTAGTTAAAGAAAAAATAATTACTGATTAAAGAAAAAACTGTGAGCAGGCTGCTCTTTATAACAGAAAAGGCATGCTATGTCTCTTCTGCATTAACAAATCCTTACCTGCCTGCTCGCAGTCTTCTATTAAACGTACACTGAGCTGTACAGGCGCAGCAGCACGGTGTGTATATATCCCAACGCATTGTGGCTGTGCCAGAATGATGGACTGCTATGCGCATGCATGGGATGATGTCGTTCCCTGACTGGCCAAACAGGCCAAAAACCCAGCACCTTGGAAGTAGCTGAAGATGACAGCAGCCTGCAAGGGATTTAACTGTCACATCACTGAAATGAGGACATGAATATCCCTAGGAGTTGTTTCCTCTATCCAAATAATGGTCACATGCGTGTGTTAAGGGTATATCAGGCTGTTGGAAATCTCTTTTCAAGCAATAGCCTTTTCTGTTGAGAAAGCCAAAGTAAACTTTACTGATGTGTAATTAACACCTGTTGGCTGAATCTGGGGGGGACCTTAGCAGGGCTTATTGCTGTGTAGCTTGATTGAGGATTGACAGTTGTCTTTTTTTTTTTTTTTTTTTTTTTTTTTTGTTTTTCTTTGAGACATCTGTATGTCCTTTAGCCATTCTTACTATAGAAGTATCTATACATAGGCCACTTTACTAACTCACAAAAGTAATTAAAATTTTCTTTCTCATTAACTGATTTCACCAGATAGGAAGTGAGGGTAAAACCGAAACCAGGGCACAGACAACAGGAGTTTTCAGCTTTCCTCTAGTCTACTGACAAAAAGCATTTTTTACTCTTCGTCCGTGTCACTGCTGAAAATCTCCATGCTTTCTGTATGGTGAAAGTGCTTTCCTGTCGGCACTCAGTGGTAGGGGCTGACGAATGGTACCATAAAGCACAGCAAAGCACCAGGAGATTGACACTACCAGAAGTGTCGGTTTCTGAAAGCCTTCACCCAACAAGCTTCCTTTATTACGGCAGTGTTTCATGGCACAGGCAGTGGGAGAGGTAAACATTACTGTAAATGTTCTTTAAGGACAGAGTTTTTGCTCACAACTGGATTTTAGTTAGTTAATTTAAACTAATTTGGCTATAAATAGGTGCAATTAAGTAATGTACACCATCACACTACTTCACGATTCCTCAAAAGTGTTTCTTTTCTTACTTCTAACTGAGATCTCATTTTGAAAGAGGAGATTAGCTGTGATTTTATGTTTGCACAGAAATGCCAGCTAATATTGGGTATGCTGAGACAGCTAAGTAAACGCCAGCAACTATGCTAATAGGCAGTCTTCTTTAAAGGATAAGTTCACCCTTCGTAACGTTACACCCATATTCAGGGTGTAACATATGTAACATGTTACTGTAGCATCGCCCCGCACACCGGGAAATGTAAAAATTGTTCATAGTTGAATCCCAAAGGAAGTTGCATATTTTCTAGGTAAATATTTGTTTTTTTTTTTTTTTTTTTTTTTTTTTTTTTTTTTTTTTTTTAGTCCTCTCAAACACCAGAAACAACCTCTGCTGCCACCTCCATTATGAAGCAACCAGTTCAGGAACAGACCCTCACACCACCTGGTAAGGTCATCACCTTGCTGTCCCGAAACCCGGACTGTCTGAGGACGCAACCCGCACAGATCCATACAACCTTTTCTCCTCCTTCCAATACCTCAGGTGAGAGAGCCCAATAATTAAACGTGTTGCCTTTTAGATGGTGCAGGAAACAGTAAATATTCGGACTCAGATTGTTGTGATAGCGATTTATCCCTTGTGAGACCTCTATGCCTAGCCTGTATAAGCAGATATAATCACTGTGGGCAATCCTTATCAGATAGCTTGAACTCACCAATACTGTGTTGCTTTATTCTGTACATGTGACAACAGGATACAGCAGAATGAATGGTTTCCAGTATTATGCGGTCAAAAGATGATACTTACTGTAGCGTACTATGCAGAATACATGTGTCCCTGTTACATGTGGACTGTTAGCTGCCTCCATGACACAGGAAGTGCTGAACTCAAGAAGAAGGGAGGAGCTTCATATACAAAGGAACTGTGTCATAGATCTCAGGGAGGCAATGTAAAACAAATGCATTACCAAATAAGGCCACTGGATGGCAGCATAACTAACTATAGAAATGTCCATAGGAAATGGTACAAAGAATAAACTATATGAATTCTCATGTACATTAACATAAATATTAACTGTGTAACAGCATAGTAAATATGAATGTCATGCATTTTAGTAGATGTTAAATTTTTTTTTTAAAAAAAGAGGAAGGTATAAATAAATGAATTTGTACTGTATGGAAGATTAGGAATGATCTAATGAAGAATATTGAGAGTACTGAAGATTTGCACATAACATTGACCGATAATGATTGTCACAATCCATGCTGATTTTTGTCATGCTTCATACTTGGTTATTTTTAACATAAATTGGGTCTGATCATGCAGCTCTGCATTGGTGTATGGAGTAAAAGACTGAAATCAGAATTTGCCTTTTCAGTGTTAGGGTGGCCACATACTGTTGGATTTGGGTTCTGATTTAATCTAACAATCCAACAGGTGAACACCTGCAGTACATTTAAATTTGTGTCCAGGCAGGTAGACTCTCACACTGCACAGTTCGCTGCACTCTCTGCTCCTCCTCTTCTAAGTGTGCCCCAATACCAAGCTGTGTGCTATGGGGAGGCGCACATGCGGGCATGTTGCTGAGTCGGGCTGTGTGTCCATAGACACGCACAGCGCTGCTCGGGCCCTGCCCCCCACTCTCTTCTCACTGGATTTGACAGACCTCAACAGGAGCCGATGGTTCCCGCTGCCGTCAGAGCCCCCAGTGAATACAGGAAGAGGAGAGAAGAGCTGCAGCAAACAGGCACAGTGCTGGATCAAGAATAGGCTCAGGTAAGTGTTTAAGGGCTGGGGGGAGCTGTTATTGAGAGGTTTTTTTTACCTTTAAAATGGTTGTAAACCTCAGACATGAAATATTAACAAAGCATATCCCTCTATAGTGTGTCCTCTGCTATAAGCATGTCACTTCTGATGAGTTTTCATGACACCAAGAAAAAAATGGTGACAGGGAGGGCACAGCCTGTGATTGACAGCCTCATTTCTGTTCCTGTGTGCTGTGTGTCCCTTCCCTCCAATCATCTCTCAGATCTCTCCTCACTGAGGTAACTGTAGCTCCCCACCTCCTGCTTTTCAAAGCTGATAGGTCCTGTGTAAATGGATATAGGGGAAAGAGGAGTAGATAAACTGGTACAACTTATGTAGGATGATTTGGGCAACACAGTGTTTAGCACTTCCACCTGGCAGTACTAAGGTCATTGGTTCGAATCCCAACCACGGCACCACCTGCCTGGAGTTTGCATGTTCTCCCCGTGCCTGCGTGGGTTTCCTCCGGGTACTCCGGTTTCCTCCCACACTCCAAAGACATGTTGGTAGGTTGATTGGCTCCTGTCTTAATTGTCTCTAGTCTGTGTATGTATGAATGTAAGTTAGGGACCTTAGTTTGTACGCCCCTTGAGGGTTAGGGACTGATGTGAATGTACAATATGTAACGTGCTGCGTAAATTGACAGCACTATACAAGTACCTGAAATAAATAAATAATCTCTGTATATCACCTGAGCTCAGTCACTTCACTGGGTATATGTAAGGCTTCACAACCACTTAAATGTAGAGAACGCATTAAGGTACAAAAACATTGACTTTAGAACCACTTTAATTGCGGTACAATCAAGTATGAGTGCATCTGCTAATATATTTCTCTTCCGGCAGGTTTCAGGAATTTATCTCGTCCTCTTGTCTTTGGTGGTCCCTTGGGGTCAGTGACAACCAGTTGCGATGGGGCGGTCTTTGCTGTTCCCACCATGCTGCCTCCTAACAGCCGGCACGCTAAGATCTCCTCTCCAAGCAAAGAGTCTGAGGTGACAGGCCGCCAGCAATTGGATACTATTAGTGTGAGTACCAAATAAGTATAAAGGAGTCAACTGGATTGGAATGTGTGAATTTTTCAGTTTTATTTGTGAAGTGACTATTTTTGGAGAAAATCCATGCTATGAGGGGGGTTTGACAAGCAAGATTCCAACATAACCGTCCACCCATCTAGTGCAGATCATTCTGCGTTCCAATTGGCAAAGGATTTTATATTTCTTGGCAGCCTGTGGGGACTGCAATCCTGGGCATTATATACATTCACATATTGAGGCTGTTCTACCGTGCCAAATCCCCCCCTTCACTGCCACTCACTGAAGTCTAATTTTGGAAGATTCTAGTTTGTTGGAAATCTTTCCAGGTTCTTCCAGTTTTGAGAGGAAATAAAATGTTCCACTTTTACGTTTCCTTTTCTAGCCTCACATGTTAAGGATTCGAACTGTCTAACCCAAGGAAAGTTCGGGTGACCTAGAGTTGGTGAAGTGCGGATGGGTAGAGGGGAGTGGCAGTCAAGTGAAAGTATTTGATGGCCATCTTTAAAGTGATATTAAGGGTAAATTTTTTTTGTGTGTGTGTGTTATGCTTACCCTGCTCTTGTTTGCACAGGGAAGCCCCAGTCCTCCTCCTCTTTCTGGGTCTCCCGCCAGTACTTCAGGCTCCTCCTCTTCCCTGAGTGCCCCCATAGCAAGCCACTTGTTATGGGGATACTCGTGCATTCTTCTCCTGAGGCCTGCTCTGTGTTTCCATAAGACACACAGAACAATGGTTGGCCCCACCTCTGCTTCCTCCTCACTTGCTGTGTTTGACAGCAGTGGAAGTCAATAGCTCCCGCTGCTGTGTTTCAGCCAATGAGAAGAGAGAGACCCGGGAGATCTTCTGCACTCGTGTACATCACTGGATCTCGATCAGGATCGGGTAAATGCAAGGGGAGACGGGGGCTTTGGGGCTGCTGAAGGAGTTGCATATGAAAGGTTTTTTACCTCCTTGCATAGAATGCATGAAGGTAAAAAAACCTTCAGCCTTTACAACCATTTTAAGGTTATTCCACTAAAGAGGATGTTTAAGGGATGAAAGATCCCCTTTTAATGTCCATAGGCCTCCTGTAAGGGGAACAGGTTATAGCATTACTAGCTACTGTTTAATTTGTGTCTACATCAGTGAATAAGCCTGGCTAGGTGTGTCACATCATGATTAAGTACTGTCTGGGAATCCCATTCCACCTCTTAACTTACAAAGACAAAGAATATTTTTGGTCAAACTGGAAGGATCATTTCTTCAAAAGAAATTCTAATTGGAATCGTTTTAAAAGCTCACTAAATAGAAGTAACCGAGCTATGATGTTAATTTTTCAAGATATTCCATCCATCAAACCTCGTGAACATTTGTTTTTACCATTATTGCAGTTCTTTCTGTATTGAGTTTAATAACAGAACAAAATCGAATACCATTATATGTGTAACGTCTGCTGGATGGGGGTTCCCAAGTAAATAATGGCTTTAAGATGCCATTGAAAATGGGAACCAGGGTTATTTCATATTCTGTCTTTGAGACAAACATTTAGAGCCTCCAATTTCTCTAGGGTTATTATGTAGTTTGGCAGTCAGCAAAATTCTTTCTTTCAGGAGTTTTGAAGGGTAATTAAAGGGTTCGGTATGTATGTGGTGGCAATCTGGTGATTGATGTATGCCAAGGCATTTGCACTCTCTGACCGGACTCTGGAAGGCCCTTCAACTTCGACATCCAATGTCGAAGCACCAACTGGATTGGTCATAGCTCCAGAATATAGATGGGTTATACCCTTTCCTATAGGGAATATAGCCCCTGCACTGAAATATGGGCCAGAACTCCTCCCCCATCAGGATGGCATCTGTCATCAGAACTTTCCAAATAATAAAGAGAAATGGCTTTCCTGTCTCCAGCCCCAGAAGAGACATCCACCAAAGACCCTAATATGTTGGGCCACAGAAAACATTCAAGAGTCCAGTGACAGAGTTCTTCTGCCCCATGCTAACAGGACATTCTGCTGTAGGGCCCGGAATGAAACTGAGCCAATGAAACTGCCTCAAACGAGGCTACTATCTTCCCTATTACTCTCATGCAGAGGGATACCTCAGATCTGAGGGTAGACACCTGATTTCTCAGGGCTACACACCTCCCTGCCAGGAGAAAAAAAATCTTGTCTTTCTACCAGATCAAGCCCAGATATTCTAGTCTCTGGGTTGGAAACAATGACTATTTCTGGAGATTGAGAACCCGGCAGAACCTCTCCAAAGTCTAACTGCAATAGCCACATTGTACTCCAATAAATGAACCAATTGCCCTCTGAGCAATAGATCCTCTGGGTAAACTAGGTTCCCCCTGGAGTCCCAAGACCGGGGCCAAAATCTCATTGAACATTTAAAGGGCAATGGGCAGCCAAAAAGGCAAGGCCACAAACTGAAAATACTTGTTCTCCACTGATGAGGAGGAAAAATTAGGATATGCAGATAAGCATCCTTTATCTCCACTGATGCCAGGAAATCCCCTAGCTGAAGTGACGACACCACTGCCCAGAACCTCTGAATATGCAGAACTTGTGAAGACCCTTAAGGTCCAATATTGGCCATATATCTCCTCTTGATTTTGGGACAGTGAAGAGATTTGAGTAAAACCTGAGAAACCTTTTGGCCTCCGGAACTGGTATAATCAGTCCTTATAAGAAACAGATGTTCGAGAGCCTGAAACGGCAACAACCTCTTTTGTGGATTCAAAAACATATGAACGCATAAAACGTGGCGGAGGAAACTTTCGGAACACCACCTTGCAACCCTGGGAGATTATGCAACTCGTCTGCCACTTTCTCCTGCCCAAGCCTTGCAAATACCAGCAACCATCACCCCACCCAAGAGAGTGGGAGCACCCCTTCATGGAGGAGGATCAGAATCTGGCTTAGGAGCCCAGGTTGTCTTATAAAGTTTACCCTAAGGCTTTCCTTTCGAGGTAGAGGCCTGTGAGCACCAAAAAGTTCAGAGGGAACAGATCCTGAAAAAGGAGTAGTCACTTTCTCCCTGAGACTAACACTCCTTTTCCTGAGAGGCAAAAGAGAACTCTTACCTCCCAAAATCATTTGGATGTGCTGATCTAACTCTGTTCCAAAATGACTTTCCCCATGGAAGGGAAAATAGAGAAAAAAAACTGCCAATAACTTCATGCAGAGTAACTTCGCAAACCAATTCTTTAGCCCAAAAAAATCTTGTGCACATGGACGGACAAAGCCCTTCTTGATTAAGAATCTTTCAAGGTATCAACCGCAACATAGAGAGCCCGAGGTAATCTTTACCAGGACCACCCTCAGTATCTGCAGAATTATTCTTAACTAGCCTCTTAGCTTGGCCTCTGGCAGACCTCAGTAACTGTCCTGGCGGTGAGGGCATCCACCCCATGTCTGGAAAGCCTGGAACAGAGGGGAGGCACAAGCATGCTGAGCTTCTGCACCACAGAGGGTCAAGGCCAGGGTGGGCAGGCTGGATTCAGGCATATTCCATATACTAGTGAATGTTTTCCTTCATTGGATACAGCTGTGTGAACCTCTTAGGAGAAACACCCATTCCACAAATACTACCGCCTCTAATGAGGGTGTTAGAGAAAAAAATGGAAACTTCATGCAGGGTTGTAGAAAGTTTTGAAAAAACTTCTCATCCAGGGACTAAATCGGTGCCCCAATCTACTTGTCCCTCATGACGATCTACTTGTCCAGATGAAAAAAAAATAAATTTGAACCAAAAACTGTATTTAAATCGGAGGTGATATTAGGAATGTCTGGGGATTTTAAAAACAAAAGGGGCTTTATGGCGACTTAAACATTTAATATTTTTAACGTTACGCTATTTATCGCCTCCTCCCTTCCCTGCCTTTCTCCAGCACTGCACCCGGGGACTAGCAGGGAGGGGAGAGACCTTGCAGTGTAATGAGCACCGATTTGGCTGCTCCTCCAGGAAAGGGTGGGTCAGGGCTTATCATTTATCCCTTTCGCTGCCAGAGCCGTTTTTGCATTTTTTTGCACACATTTAAAAAATCATTTTAGGCCTGAAGATTACATAAAACTCCTAACCTTATATATTTTCCGAGACCCTAGAGAATAAAATAGTACTAGTTCCAATTTTTTATGTCGCATGATATTACTGCAAAATTTCAGTTAAAAAATACAAGTAAGTTAATTATAGGAAACAAAATCAATAAATCAAGTTGGTTTTTTTTTTTCTATCTTTAGTCCTGCTCACCTGTTAGGTGGAAGCATTCGAGTGGCAGCTCTGCCGCCCTATTGCTTCCACACAACGCTACCCTTCCGCTCCCCTCCCCTTCTTTTCCTGACCCGGAAGTGACATCATAACTGAAATTTTGCAGTAATATCACGCGCCATAAAAAATTGGAACTACCACTATTTTATTCTCTAGGGTCTCAGAAAATACATAATGTTAGGGGGTTTTATGTAATCTTCAGACCTAAAAATATTATTTTTAAATCTTGTGCAAAAACCACAAAAATGGCTCTGGCAGCGGAAGGGATAAAGAATAAGTCCTGACCCACCCACCCTTTCCTGACAAGCACCCAATCAGTGCTCATTACACTGCAAGGTCTCTCTGCTCCCTGCTAGTCCCTGAGTGCGGTGCTGGAGACAGGCAGGGAGGGGAGGAGGAGATAAAGAGCGCAATGTTAAAAATATTAAATGTTTAAGTCACCATAAAAAACCCTTTTTGTTTTTAAAACATTCCTAATATCACCTCCGATTTAAATACAGTTTTGATAAGTTATTTTTTTTTTTTTTTTTTATTTGGACAAGTAGATTGTCATGAGGGACAAGTAGATTGGGGTACCGATTTAGTCCTGGACAAGTAGTTTTTTAAAAAATTTCCACACCTGTGATAATGCAAAACAGATTGGACATTGGGAGCAATCACACAGGGCTGTATGGTAATGCCTCCTAGGTGTCGCATCTAGGGAGATACGTCTCAGTACACCACACATCCACAAGGACCGCACAAATATGACCAATTGGTGATATTGTAGGAAATATCTGAAAAGATGATATATTGGATGTAGTAAAAAGAAATCCCCATATATAAATTCTCTCAGCCATATAACCTAAATAGTGATAAAGCATCCTCGGATGACATATGCTGAGCACAGGCACAATGATAATGGTTGACATAGGGTACTAAATTTACAAAAGTACAAGATCATTACAAATTGAGTCCAATGAGAGAAAAGAATAAGGCAAAACTGTGCCAGAAAAGGTAAACATGGTGATGCCTACCAATCGATGTAGTACTGGGTTACATCATTCCAGAGTGTGCTCGTTCATAGAGAGACCAGATCATATCCCAATGTTTTTAAAGGATAAGATCACCTTTCATAACATGTTACACCCATATTCAAGGTGTAACATGTTATGAATACACCAGCCCCCGCTTTGACAGCTAGTGGGGGATCTTCGCTTCGCCCGCTAGCTGTCAAATTTAGGGGAAAAAAAAAAAACACTGCCTTGTGGGGCTCCCGCCGCATCATTCATTCACAGTTTTCAAGTCCCAGCAGCATTAGCGACTGTTGGCTTGTTGTTCTCAATGAGCTCTACAGCGCTGTGGTAGTTCATTGATTCTTCCTGTCAGTATATTTGCTTGCTCGTACATCTCGTACGGGCAAGCAGATACAGTGTACACGTCACCCTTTTTCTTGGTAAATATATTTCTAAAGGTGCTATTGACATTAAATTTTCACCATGTGTTGGTAACAACCCATGCAATCCATACACACAAAGAAACCAAAACAAATACATTCAGAAATTAAGTTATGTGTAATAAAATGGAATGACACAGGAAAAAAAAGTGTTGAACACTCTAACTTGAAATTTTTTCAATACTTCGTACAAAATCCTTTGTTGGTAATGACAGCTTCAAGACTCCTCCTGTATGGAGAAACTAGTCGCATGCATTGCTCAGGTGTGATTTTGGCCAATTCTTCAACACAGTCTTCTAATCTTGAGGGTTCCGTGGGCCTCTACTATGAACTCTGATCTTTAGTTCTTTCCATAGATTTTCTATTGGATCAAAGTCAGGTGATTGGCTGGACCATTCTAGCTTTATTTTTTTTTCTTTGAAACTAATTCAAAGTTTCCTTGGCTTTGTGTTTGGGATCGTTGTCTTGCTGAAATGTCCAACCTCGTTTCATCTTCATCATCCTGGTAGATGGCAGCAGATTTTTATCAAGAATGTCTTGGTACATTTTTCCATTCATGCTTTCTTCAATGATACGAAGTTTACCAGTACCGTATGCTGAAAAACAGCCCACCACCATGATGATCCCACCTCCAAACTTCACTATTGGTATGGTGCTTTTGGGGGTGATGTGCAGTGCCATTTGACCTCCAGACATGGTGTGTATTATGGTATTAAAAAAGCTCAATTTTGGTCTCATCTGACCAGACTATATTCTCCCAGTATTTTCCAGACTTGTCTAAATGTTGTGCAGCAAACGTTAAACAAGCTTCAACATGCTTTTTCATCAGCAGTGGAGTTTTGCATGGCGAGCGTGTATACAGGCCATGGCAGCTGAGTGGATTACTTACTGTTTTCTTTGAAACAATTGTACCTGTTAATTCCAGGTCTTTCTGAAGCTCTCCACAAATGGTCCATGGCTCTTGGACAACTCTTCTGGTAATTCTTTTCACTCCTCTTTTGGAAATCTTGCGAGGAGCACCTGGTCGTGGCCGGTTTATGGTGAAATTATGTTCTTTCCACTTCAGGATTATAGCCCCAACAGTGCTCACTGGAACATTCAGAAGTTTAGAGATCTTTCTGTAACCAATGCCATCAGTATGTATTGCAAAGGTCTTTAGAGAGCTCTTTGCTTTTACACATCATGAATTGTTCTTGTGTGACACCTTGATGATGAGACACCTTTTATAGGCCATCAGTTGCAACTGAACCAGCTGATATTCATTTGCACGGTCAAAGGGCAGGATTGCTTTCTAATTACTGATAGATTTCAGGTGATGTCCTCCCTTTCGTCATGTGTTCAATACTTATGCCCTGTGTCATTCCATTTTATTACACAAAACGTAAATTCTGATGTTGGTTTCTTTGCATGTATGGATTGCATGGGTTGTTACCGAAGTGGTGACATGTTCCATACTTATTTTTCCCGCTATATACTGACAGATCTGCAGGAGACCTGCATTGCACCAACAATCTGCCGATCGCTGGTGCAATGGTTTTCAGGCTTCTGCAACCAAAAATAATAAATGCACATTTTTTTTTACCTGCAAAAAAATGTACATTAATTATTTTTGGTAAAAAGGTGAACTTATCCTTTAAATAATGGACATGCGGCCAATCAGAGTTCTCTGGATGCAGCAGTCATGGCGTCAAAGAAAAGACTTCTCCAAGATGGAGAACGGCCAGATGGCAGTCCTCCTGGCCCTTCCAGCACTTGGCGCGACCCTGCCCACAGCGGGATGATATCATGCGCACAGAGAGCCATCGGTGCACATGATTGGCTGCGGCCTCCCAGACATGGGAAGAGGCAGAACCATGGGCAGACACCGCCAAATGCATCCGGAAGCAGGGGGGAGAAAAAAAAAAAAACACCCGCCCAAAGTCCATCCACACAGCGCACAAATAGAGGCTCCCCTGAGTGAACACCCACTGGTTATAAAAGAAGTGGCAGCTCCTGTTAGGACATCCTTCAAATATTAACATCTGGCAGAACATATAGGAAAGACTAGTAGCATACAACACAATAGGGGTAAAAAAAACTCCTGGGACCAAGGCTACCAAGGACTGAAAATCTTGTAGCAGGTTCTGACCAAGAAAGTCCAAAACCAATCTTCACCCATCACAGCGGGCAGTGCCACTCAGGATCTTCAAGGACTTGATCCCCTTTCTTGGGGCTCACTACCCCTGGACCTGTACAGCACCCTACCGGAAACACCTTTGTCCGTTACTACTGCACAGGGTTCTGTATACGCAGGGTCCAGCACTGAATGGTCCCATTACAGGCAGTCCTCACATGTTGGCCTCTTTCATCATGGCGGGGCCCGGGTACCACTCGTTTGAGCATTTTAGTTGTAGGAATGGACCCAGAAGGCCAAATTCTTGATCCCTACTGGAACCATTTTGAGCACATACCAGTGTTTGTGAGGCGAGCTGAAGCCGCACACCTTCAGACACTGGCGGAAGACTGAAGCACTTCCTGTATGGAAGGGGCCATTTAGGAGAGGACTTCTGTCTTTGTGCCAGTATCCATTTACCTATAGGTAGAACATAACCCAATAAGTAAGGATTTATATGGTCGCTCTGTGTCCCATGATGTACAATAAAGAGAAAACCATCCTGCCTTTGACACGAGAAACGGGATTGCCAGTGTGACATGGCCCTTAGGGGGTTGTGTACTAAAACTGGAAAGTGAAAAATCTGGTCCAGCTCTGCATAGAAACCAGTCAGCTTTCAGGTTTTATTGCCAAAGCTTAATTGCACAAGCTGAAGTTAGAATGCACAGCTGCAGCAGATTCTGAGTGCACCAGCTTTAGTAAATCGATCCTTAGTGTTCATGGAAGAGGACATCTGGAGTAACAACCTTTTGTTGATGGACTGAAATTCTATAGTTATCTGTATCTTTTTTTTTTTTTTTTTTTTTTTCTGTGCGCATATCTCAGCAGTTGAGTTCTCCTTGAGATCACTAATCACATTTTTTTGTCTTTTATCCCTTCAGCCTGATTTCTTCTTGCCGAAGGCCAAGAAGCAGAGGAGCAGACACCTTCGGAAACCCTTAGTTGTCCAGGTATGATTCTACGGTAGATCTTTACTTTGCTCCTCTTAGATATCCTAAACAAGAGGAAAGTTGATTGTTCTTGTCAATGACAAGAGAAAAGAAATGAAGTACCCCTGTGTCACGTTTTAAAAGACTGACCCACTTAAAGCCCTGTGTTGACTGGCTTTTTCATGGGCATATGCAGCCTGCTTTTGATATCGGTTTGAGACTCTTTTGAGATCATTCATAGTTCACTGTCGGTGCATTTGACCTGCATCTGCATGCCTGTAGACTTGACTGCTGACACTGACCCTATTGCTGATCTTAAAAAAAAAAATAAAATAAATAAAAGCAGCTAAAAAAAACAAATTGCAGTTATAAAAAAAAAAAAAAAAAAATAGTTGTGCATTTATTAAAAATGAATCCTTAAAGGCCCATTCACACCTATTCAATGCATGTACACTGGTTATCATTGTTTGAAATAGAAGTCCTTCACATCTGCATGATGTATTATCTATTTTTTGGTGCATCAACATGCATTATCGAGGGACAGTTGATGAAAATGGCAGCACATCAGAATCTGTGATTGTTGATGACGCAAGAAAACGTGCATGGAAAGGTTTGAGCCCAGTTTTAGTGTTTTTGTTTTGGGGTTTTTTGTTTTTCAAAAAATCATGTTTCTGCATTTGACTTGATGTCTGCCACCTAATCTCCTGAACAGTGAAATTTAGATTGGAAGAGGGAGGGTCAGTACTCTTTGCCAGTCGGGCTCTACTGTAGTGCACATGACAAAGAATTGAAATCATTAGCATACGGCCTCACTGTCCATTTACATAATAGGGACAGAGTAGTGACTGAGGTATACTGCTTAAAACTGCCCAAATATTAGAAAACAGGTTGAACGAAAAAAAATTACCTGATTTCCCCATCCATATGTTCAAGGTGGGTATGAGGGAATCCTCCCCGCAGTGTCTTTGTTTTCGGATGGTGGCGAAATCTTCCCACTGCCAGAATACAAAAACACAGCACTAATTGATGGCAGGTAAGTCTCGAGCAGTCAAAATCCAGTGGTGCAGTTGAACAATTTCAAACTGGTTCAACCACAACCAGCTCCAGCCAGTTCAACCACAGTGCCCACACATAACTTGCATCCACAATCTTGGGGCATGGGCTGTGGGTGGGTATAAGCCCTGGTTCACATCTGTGCTTTCGTGTGGGCCGTGATTTGCGCGGGCACGAGAGCCCATTCATTTGAATGGACTCCCATGCCCCGAGATATGCAGGGAAGAAGTCCCTGCACTACTTTGGAAATTGCAGCCCGCATGGGAACCGAGGTTGCAATTTCCAGTGTGGGCAGTGTGACATTAGAATTAATGGCACTCACCTGTGGGTGATGCGGCTACAGGTATTTGTGCGGGTCCCGCAGCAGCAGCACCACCTGCACAGATGTGAACTGACTGTAAGGCTCAGCGCGCCATGTTACGACACACTGACATAGCAGAGTCCCATGCTCCTCTCTGGTATCATGCCTGTAGAAAGCATGCACATACCTGATGGGCAGCCCAACACCCAAATGACGGCGTGCAAATAGCAGGACAAAGCAAAGTTTCAGCTGGTTTTTTTTTTTGGGGTTTTTTTTGTGTTTTATTAGTAGCTGCTGACTTTTAATAAACACACACTTACCTGTCACAGGGTCCAACGATGTACTCACTTGCACCGTCCCTTCTCTCCACGGTGCCGGCATCTGAACTGTGGGCACCAGGCTGTGACAGCTTGTGGCTTCACAGCTGGGTGCCCACTGCGGATGTGCAAGTCAAGCTGCGCATCCTGATTGGTCCGGCAGTATTCTGGGACCTATGTAAGTTTCCAGGAGACTGTGGGAGGAAGGAGGGGACCAAACTTGCGGTTCACTTTGCCATGGCGAACTGAGCCAGAAGTGGGAGCTGGTGCCTGTCAAAACCAGGTGCCCCGCTCCCCCCCAAAGGTGCCAAATATGGCAGTGAAAGGGGGGGGGGGGGTAGGCAAACAAGCAGAGCTCCAGCTCCACTTTTGGGTGGAACCCCGCTTTAACAACACCACTGCTGATAGTGAAGCTTAATGTTGTAGGCCTTGCAACAAGAAGTGCTGTCACTGGCAGTATCTCCAGGTTAGGTACTTGGAAACAGATTTGCAAAAGTGATTTGCTTATGAAAAATATAAAGAGAGGCATGATACTAGACATATAGGAAAAATAGATTCATGGGATTTATACACTTTAAACACAAATTCCGATCTTGAGGAACTAAAGAGACTGCCTCCTAATTAAGTAAAACCTTTGCTGATAGCATGAGGCTGCCAGTTTTGTTCTGCCTCTGAAAATGCTAGTTATTTGGGTGTCATGTTGATCCAGTGACTTCCTTACTTTTTGGGTCTGACTTTCTAGTTCTACATATTTATTTGTCATGTATTTATAATAAATATATACAAACATACAGAGACTCAGAGGGTATGAAGCCAGAGTCCGTCCAGTAGCTAATATCAGGAGATCAGCAATTAAGACCCCTGTGTCTCTCTTAATACAGACTTTTTTAACCATGTTGTTAGAACCGGGGTCAGCTCAGGATATGTCTTTTTGCTGTCACACCAACCTCCAGTCAGCAGCAATTCTGATCTTAACTGACTCACACAATCTCAGTAGGTTGTCATGGTAACTGCTATATTCTGGTCAAGCCACTAAATCATCCTTTTGAGTTCTTCAGGTGCCACATTGAAAAATCAGTCTTTCTGAAGCCCTATGCGGACATTAACTACTGGACATTCATTTTGACCTTTTCTTCCACAGAGGACTCTCCTCCCACGGCCGTCTGGTAGCTCCTTGCCGCATGTCTGCTCCTTTTCAATTCTCTCAAACTCAACAGTAGCAGGTAATTTAAAAATTGTGACTTTAATATTTACTCTTGGAGCAAAATGTAACTAATTCCAGTTACTAAAATATAATATAGAAACCTGAAGCTAAACCACAACATCCAAAAACTGCTTGAAAAATACTCCATGAATGCAAGATGAGGGAGCTGGCTCCAAAACGGGGCTAACTTGTTACTTAAAGGGGCAAAATTTGAGAGTACAGTGGTTGCTCTTGCCATCCCACCAAGAGCCTATAGTAATAAATGCACAAAGAAGAAAATTTAGGTAAGTTACTTCGGGCTTGTTCACATTGGACAGTCTGCACTGGCAGGAATCTGTCCACCACACTGTTTTTACCTTTTTTTTTTTTTTTTTTTTTTTTTTTTTTTTTTTTTTCTCTCTAAACTTTATTACAATATCAAGGTCACAGTTTATAAAGTTTTAGTCACACAAGAGAGTTGCACTGCTATAGTTTGCGTCCTGTGAGCTGACAATATAGGAAACACTGGGCAAGGCTACACAGGAGAGTCGCAGTGCGCCTAGTGTGAACAAGCCTTTAAAGTAAGTATAGTTGCAAACTACCCAGCCTTTCCCCTTTCAAATGTCCTGGCTTTCATAATGACAGCTAGCATTTTAAAGGTATACCTTTGATACAGGCACGCTGCTTTGTTTGCCTCATGCTATTCCAGTATTTGACATAATATATTGTGTATTGCCTGTGGTCTGTGCAGACTAGCTTGCACTTGCAGAAGCCATTGGTAATGCTAGCTGTCCTTGGTGTATGCCCCAGTCACCGTGACTGTGCCCATGACATGGTCAGGGTTAGTTGCATAGGTCTGTGGACTACACACTCTGAAGTAAATTGAAATAGAGATCTAAAATCACTGTAGCAGTCCTAGGCAGACCTAGCAGTGTGTCTATACATCATATGTATAAATTCAGTGTGCGTGTGTACATATGCGTGCTGGGATGGAACATTTAAAGTGAACATGTTGTTTTTTCCATAATAGGGGTTGATTTACAAAAAACAGAAGGATGCAAAATCTGGTGCAGCACTACATAGAAACCAATCGGCTTCCAGTTTTTGTTTTTTTGTCAAAGCTTATTTGAACAAGCTCAAGTTAGAAGTGGATTGGCAACCATGCATAGCTGCACCAGAGTTTGCAGTCTCCAGTTTTAGTAAATCAACTCCAAAGTTCTTGTTACTAGCTATATTTTTGTTCACTTTCTTGACTTCTGGTTTGATCCAGGAAAGTAATATATCATTTCTCTTTGCAGGAAGAGGCTCCTTCCGGCCAATCCATTCCACCCTTGGTAAAGCCGTCTCCCAGCCAATTGTGCCCAAAGGGTTGACGGCCTCAACTAGCAATGCCAATTCTTTAGCTAGTAAGTATTTTAGATGTTGGTAACTCTCAGGGAGTCTGCACACAGGAACTCTCAGGAAGTCTGCAGGCAAGATTCAGTATTCAGTGGTCTATTATTGTTTTTTAAATTGTGGTTGGTGACATACCCATATCGGTAATGTTACAGTACTACATAATTTGAGTTCTACATGGAATAAATGCTACTTAAATCTCTACATAGCTTCACTGTTCTGTTCTCAGGAGTGTCTAGTGCTCATTCTATTATTTTCCATGAATACTTGGCCTTTTCAAAATGCTCAATGGAGTCCATAAAAGCAGACACTTCCAGCTTTTCATTCTGTTCCCCTTGCTTTCTCAGCTGACTTTTAGCTGTGACTACAGGGAGTGAATTCTGCTTATTGACAGCTGCTTGGAATTGAGTACATGGACCATGGAGCAAAAGTGTTCTCTTCTTTGTTCAATCCTTATACATGCCAAGTACCCCTGGTGGTATGCAGCACACACTTTGGTAAATGGTGCTGAGGCTCATAGTGGGATGGTTCAGATTTAGTTATGTTTCTGATTTTTCTATTATCTTCTCATTATGTTCTATTTTCTTCTCAGGTGCTATTGACTTGGCTGCTAAAAGTGCTGGTATTATCCCAGGCCCTTCATTACCAGTTCTTGAAACTGATGGCTTAGTTGGAATCGGCCCCTTGCCCTCAGAGGGTTTGACTGGCACAGTAGCAGAGCCCAATGTAGAAGGTACAAGCAGTGACCCTATATCAGCAGTGACTGTGTGTCCTGAGGTGAGCATAAGCCTTTTTAAGGTATTTGTTTTTAAACACGTATTTCCCAATTGTAGTAATGCCAACATTTTTGCACTGTTGTATGACTAAATTAGCATCTTGCATTATTTATTTATTTTCTTAGGTTCCTTTCATTGCTCTTACAACACCCCCAGTGCAAGAGTCAGCCCAGCCATTTCAGGTATTGTTTCCCAATGTTTTTGTACTGCAGAGCTGTCATTTACAGTGACTCTGGCTTTTTCTTTTCATATCCAATCTAACAATACCTGTGGATTGAGATTGTTAAAAGCTCTTAATTGCATCTTCTGTCCTATCCTAGGTGCCTAACATTCTCTGTTTAGCAAATGTACAAAAATATACCTTTTTTTTTTTTTTCCCACAGAATGCACATTAGTTTTCTGAAAATAAATGTAAATGCCTGAGATTAATTTGAAATTGGCCACCTGTAATCCCCTGTTTTGCAGCACAGACTGGGAAAGGGATCAGTCAGGGATGCACATATTCTGAAAAGGAACATGCTGATAGGTGGATAGAGGCATGAACTTATAATTGTGCTTTTAATTCGTCATTGTTAAAAGTTGGGGAGATGAGCAGTATATATTGCTCAACTGCAGTAGACGAAAGTTAGATCTCTAAGCTAGCTGTGACTGTCTACAGCCGCACACAGGTGAAAGGAATAAGAATTTCTCTGTTCTCACATCAACACAGTCAGTGCTGATGGAGGAATCCCTCCCACAGCGCTGTTGTGTTCTGCCAGCAGGGAGCATTCCCTGCTGGAAGAACATCTTGATCGCTGCTGGAGGCTTTAGCTGCCGGCAGTGATCGCATGAAAAAAAATCTGACAGGCTGGCTGTACTGAAGTCAGTTGATTGACCGATTTCAGTACAACTAGCCTGCCCATAGATGGATCGAATCTTAGCCGGTCCCTACTGAACCAGCCAAGATCTATCCATCTATGGCTGGTTTAAATCTCAAGACTAGATGGGCTGATATAGAATTCCTTTATTAGATAAAACCATTATATTTATTTCAAATGTATATGCATCGGTTTGCCAGCAATTCAGCTTTATGTGCAATACAATACAGAAAAGAAAAATTTTAATGATTTCGCCTGGAACTTATTTTGGTTTAGAGCAAATAAATTGATAATACATCTTGCAAACAACCACCCAGATCTAAAATTATGCTCTTTGATGGCTTTAGCCTTTAAAGTTGATCTGTCTTGAGTTCTTAAATGCAAAGTGAGAGCACTGAAATGCAAATCCAGTATAGAAGGATAGCAGGTTGTTTTGCTAAAGCTTCCAAAGTTGGGGACTTTGGAGATCCAGGATCACACCAGGAATGATTTGAACAAAATTAAAAGGTACATGCAGGGACCTTGCAGGGCCTTGATTTTGACTGTTGTTGCATTGCTCTTTTCAAAATCCAAAAAACAGGTTTACTTTAAATACAAGAGTTCCTCCTGCACTGTAACATGTTTCATACGTGTTACTTAGGACTTTTCTCTACTATAAACAACTTCCAAAGCTTACAAAACTGAAAGTGAACAAAATGAACTATGTCAAAAACCTTTATTTATGATCTGACTTTTCTTTCAGCCATCATCTATCTTGTCCATACCTCACATCTCCCAGAGTCCTCTAGAGAATGGCCCTCCAGAGCCGTCCAATTGCACGCCCAGTAGCTCCTGCCTTTCTCCCCCAAATGTCTCTGCTTTGCTGGATATCTCCTTGCCTGGCCCTCCTGATGATGTTCTGTCACAGGGTGAACCTGCAACACACATCAGTGATTCCATCATTGAAATAGCCATAAGCTCCGGACAATATGGTGAGTTCATAGGTCTGCAATAATAGTACATGGATATTGTTTTTATGGTTTAGTACAGTTGCTGTAAAAAGATACAAGTGTGTAAAACATTATAGGGGTAGCTGTAAATTTATAAATATGATTGCTCAGGCAAAACACAACTTGTGTCTATGCCTAGTGTCAGAACTTTCATACCTGTACAGGTGATTCGTTGATATTAAAGTGAACCCATACTTTGCTCAAGCATCTTTGGGTGCCTCCTCCACTGCTATTACTCACCTAGCTGATGATCCCTTGGCTCCTCCTTCTTCTTTACTTCTAGGTGTGTGTGTGTAACAAATGTATACACCCTGATTAGCCATAACTTTATGATCACCCACCAATTATTGAGTAAAGATAGACACACACAAAGGGGTTGGACAAAAAAAAACAGAAATACTACATGATTTGCAGATGTGAAAGTGATGGCACATTTCATGTTGAAAGCAGAAGCGATGTGACATTTTTGCTTCCGCTGTGTGATGAGACACTTAGCTAACAGATGGGAAGCCTCACTTTTGTCTTTCACTGCATGTGCTTCTAGTAATACAGAGTCGTGTCAGAGCTTATTAAGCATTAAAGAGGGCAAGAAATTGTGCAAGATTGTGACCCGGAATAAGAAAACCACTGCTGCAAAAGTGACTGCAGAGCTAAATCTCAGTCTTCACTGGACTGAGTCTTCACGGGACTGAGACTGAGCACTGTGTATGCCGTCATAACCTTTTGCTATTGTACCTCGCGGACAGGGCAAATAAATTGGCAACTTCAGTCACAGAGGCACCAGCTAAGCGGTCACCAACAGTTTTATCTCTTTGAAGCTCAGAAAGCTCTGACATGACTGTATTATTAGCAGCACACACAGTGAATAACGAAAGTTACCTGTTAGGTGTGTCATTAAACAGCAGAAGCAAGAGTGTTGCATCACTTCTGCTTTCAACGCAAAAAATGTCACCTTCACACCTGCAAATCATGTTATGTTTCCATTTTTTGTAGTCAAACATTGTGGCATCTTTTATACTTCAACTCAAATGTCCTGTACTCCTTTTTTGTATGTTGAAAAAATCAACAAAAATTGTCATTTCTCAAAAAAAAAAATTTTATGGGCAGGTTTTGTCACCATATTCCCTTTTTCTTTCTCATGAAAGAATGATGTATGGCCACTCTTACTTTAACACTACTAAAAGTTCTTTTCTATAAACCAAATCATAATGTGGGATGTATGTAGTCTTCTTGTAATAACGAACATTTCCACCTCCTTTTTGACCGTACCTAATATATGTAACCCAGCTTGCTGCCTTCTTGGATTTCTGAAAGATTCTGTTATGCCCATCTATATCAAACTACTCCACCTTTTATTTTCTTTGCAAAAAAACTATAGTAATTTGGCTGAAATCCTCAGATCGTCCCTCCTGAAGGCAGAGGCTCGTTAATCAGGCCCTGCCAATAAATAAAATGACCTGTGAGGCTTGTGGGTGCCTGAAAAAAACTTCATAAGTTATGGACCCCCTGACTGGTGACTGGCATACAAGTGCTCTAGAATAATATGTGCAAAAAATTTTGTAATATCTCAAAATGACATATGTACCCTTGTGAAAATGAGTTCAAAAGATACAGTGAACAGGGAAGTAGCTGATATTAGGAGTTCTTTATTGCGTTATATGTAATCAGTCAACCCATCTTTACTCTAAACATGTCAAAAATTTTATATGCGCTATGTATAAATAATTATTAAGATACTTCACCTTATTTGAAACGCACAAATTCTCATGCGTTGTGGCAAAATTGTATGCTTGTGTGATATCTGATGCTGATTCGATATGTAATACTTGTAATGTTCTATTGTCAAACTATAAACCCTAAAAAACTTTCAATTTAAAAAAAGTTGTAATGCAAGCTAGTGTTTCTAATGCAGACTTTATTTTTGAAGGCGAAGCTGTGCCCCTGTCACCGGCCAAGCTAGGTGAGAACTCGAAGAGTCTTCCTTCCCCATCCTCTAGTCCTCAGCAGAGCTGGATCGCCTCCCCCAGCCATGATCCTCAGTGGTATCCCAATGACTCTACAGACTCCTCACTCAGCAGCTTATTTTGTGAGTACAAGCACATAGTGTTATGTTGTGGATTAAACTCTATATGCCACCATCCTTTTGCTTACACTGGCTCTTTTCCTGCTCACACAGCAAGCTTCATTTCTCCAGAAAAAAGTAAGAAGATGGCTCCATCCGCCACAGGAAATGCCAGCGGCACATCTCTGCTGGGCCCCAGTTTGCTAGATGGAAGTTCTAGAGATTCCTTTGTGTCCCGTTCTTTGTCAGATGTTGAGGTTTGTAAATCCGAAAAGTCTCTTTAAAGCGGAACTACACTGTATCTGAGCACAACAAGCCAAAATCTCTGTTTATTTAATTTTTTATATTTAATGCAAACTTGCCCATCCATCCATTCATGTCCCCAAGCTGTATTTTGCTGAGAAATCGCTTAGAAAAACACCCCTAGCATTTCTGGCTGTGGTCATCTTGAATAAGGACAGATGATATATGTAGATGGTTACTTCCTGGAATCCATCTGCTCTTAGCCCAGGCATGCAGGCAGGAGGGTGTGCTTAGCTGAGAAAACCCTTTCTCCCCTCCTGAAGACTCCTGTATGACATTGTTTGCCTAGGCATGGAAATTAGGAAGGAACTAAAGAAATGTAAAAAAAAAAACAGTTTGAAGCAAGTAAATATGATATACTTTCCTATCTATGGACTAATGCTAGCCGCGTAAGCATTCAAATTAGTCAATGTTGATTAAGAGAGTGAAGTTACACTTTAAGCTACATTAAAAAAGATTAAACCGCTTAAGGACTGCCCACGGCCTTTTTACTGCAGCTGAGTGGCCCCGCTGCGCTGGATCACGTACATGTACGTGATCTAACATTTCCAGGTAGAGGGTGCTCGCCTGGTCTGTGCTGTCATTCAGTACAGCACACGTCAGTCAGCAGGTCCTGGCCAATGATTTATGGCCAATACCTGATAATTGATCTAGCAAGCTACAGTACAGAGCCCTCTATTTACTAACAACACAGGGCACTGTACAGAGAGCAGCAATGTGGCTGTGTTTTCTCTCTGCAAACACCCACATTGATTAATAAAAGCAGCACATATTATACACATTACACATTGTTAGGCACACAGTTAACCCTTTGCCCCTACAATTTAACCCCTTCTCAGCCAGTGCCATTAGTACAGTAACAGTGTATAGTATTATCACTGTATTAGTGTCACTGGAGGTGTCTGTTCCCACCCAATGCCAGT